AGAGAGATTTGAATATTGAGCATCACGAAATGTCAGTACTGCTTCTGGGGAGCTTTTGCTAAAATACAAATTCTGATTCAGGAGTTCTGAGCTGGAACTCAGATGTCAATATTTTATTTGGATAACACCCTGAAAAAAAGAAAGGTTAAAGAAAATGGAATCAACCTGTAAGAAGACTAAGGAAATATCAATATGGAACACAGAAAGGTTATTAACTAGGATTAGCTGTAGGAATATAATACAAGAGTCAATCTTGGAAATTACTGAAAAGGTCTAACCAGTAGAAATTGATCACTAACCCAGAAGATAATATTCCTGAAGATGCTCCAGATGTTTGGACTCAGATTTGCTGAACAGTAATGGTACCCCTCAGATGGAAACACAGGGAAGAACACATTTATTTTAAAAACTTGAGATCAGGCTGAGGTTGTAAATTCAGAAGACTTGCAGATGGAAACCCTTTACCATGCTGATTCAGGAGGTAGGCAGAAATGAAGACCTTGGCATAACAAAAAATGACTCTTGAAGTGATAGAATGACATCACCAGTAGAAAAAACGCTTTCAAGAAAGTGGTTTAGGAACATCCCTGGCAGACCAGTGGTTAAGACTCTGTGTTTACAACACAGGGAGCACAAGTTCAATCCCTGATCAGGGAACTAAGATCACATGCCACGTAGTGTGGCCACAAAATTAAAAAAAATAAATTAAAAAAAGAAAGTGGTTTACGGTCCCTTAGAGTCCACTTATCTACATTTTGAGTGAGCAGGGGATTATGAGTCAGCAACAGAAACTGAAAAGGTGGGTCAAAAAAAGAAGAATAAATAGAAGAGTACTCTTTACAGTGAACTCACATAAGGGTTTCACAGATAGGCACTGTAATTTTGTACATACCGGGAAAAAGCGGTTATGTGATTTTAGCCAAGGTCAAGGGGATAGTTTATAACCTGCCCAGATGTCAGATATCTTTCCTGGCTGAAAGCTCAATGTTCTTTGCTTTAGGGAATGCTAAACACATATCAAGGGGACTTCCAAGGTGGCTCAGTGGTAAAAGAATCTTCCTGTCAATGCAGGAGATGCAAGAGACCTGGGTTCGATCCCTGGATCTTAAAGATCCCCTGGAGGCGGAAATGGCAACCCACTCCAGTATTCTTACCTGGAAAATTTCACGGACAGAAGAGCCTGGCGGGCTGCAGTCCATGGGATCGCACAGAGGCAGACGTGACTCAGCAGCAGCCGCCCCAAACACCAATCAGGGTGCTAATGTCAAGTAAACACTATTGCCTCATGAAGTCGTGGGGTGAAACCCGTGGCTTTTCTGTCTCCTGTCTTGGCAGGTGGGTTCTTCACCATTAGTGCCACGTAGGAAGCCCATGAAATAATTAAGGCGTACTAATTTAAAAATTAATCAGACACAACTGAGCAACTGAACAACAACATTTAAAAATAAGCAGGATGCTTTTTATGTCATATGCATGACTACTAAAATGATAATTACTTGTTTATGGCATTTCGTATTGCCAGTGAGATTAGGCATGGCCTTGGATGTTTTCAGTGAATATAAGGAGATTCTAAAAGGAATGGGACTTTGCTTAATTTGTTGAGTTCTCTAGTTTAAAAGAGAGTTTAAATGAACATATTCTAAGTATTCATCCTGCATTAATATTCAGGAAGCTAGCAAATGTATCCCCAAGAGGAGTAATTTTTAGTAGTTTTGTACTTGCAGATAATTCTGTGTGTTACTTTGAAGGATACTTGTATGAGCATATGAATGGGGAAAATGGCAGAAAGGCAAGAAAACATTTTCTTTTCTTTCTCTCTCTCTTTTTTTAATATAGAACAAATGAAATAGATCTGCCTTGGGTTCAGAGTTTATGCTTTTTTACTGTATTATTATGTTAATATTTTAAATGAATTATTTTGCCCACCCTTACAATAATATTTAGACAACCTTTCTTCTTTCATTTATTGTAGTGGGAGCTAAGTAAGAAAGGAAAATGGCTTTCAGAACTCTGAGTCAATAGGTAGCTCAGAGAGACATGGTTTCTTCCTTCCTTGATGTTTGACTTCACTGGTATTATCTCAAGGACAGCAACTGAGATAATGCAATACAGCTATAATAGGATTGAGTGACTCCATTAATCTCTTCAAACTAATTTATTTTGATGGTAAAACATCTGGGTCTATATTGGTCCACATGTAGCAAGTAACACTGGTCAAGAAAATTAAGATTTTTCCAGGTCACATGGAAATTGCAGTACAATATTTTTGCTATTGTGTAACAAAATTTGATTCTATGCTCAGGATCTGGGTGATCCAGAGAGTTTCCAAGGGAGTCAGATACATGTTTCAGTATAGACACAAAGTAGAAGTTTCGTTTTTATTCTGTTTTAAGATTTTGAACATTATTTTCAGCTACCCCTGCCCCCCCCCAAAAAAAAAATTCTAGGTTTTTAAAACTCCATGAATGTATACATTAGCTCCCATGTCATTGGTGCTAAATCAACCCAAATGAGATTTGAATAAACTGAGAAACTCTGTGTGTGCTACCATGGGAAGAAATAGTGGTGATTACAAGAACCATAGGAAACTTCATTGGGTGTGAATAGTATGCAGCTACATAGTAATTAGTGAGCATTATGGAGACAAGAGCTATAGGAGCAGAAGTCAAAGAAGTCAAGCTGTTTTGCTCTAAAAATAAATCAAAAGAATTTATTGAAAGTATCAGGAGAGAAATAGCTTGGTTAAGTTGAGTGGAAGTACATTCATGTTTTTAATATTTATTTATTTATTTTATGGTTTTTCCTTTTTTTCTTTTAAATTAATTAATTTATTTTACTTTACAATATTGTCTTGGTTTTGCCTACATTGACTTGAATTCACATTGACAGAGACATCCATGCTCTCTGAAAAATTACGTAAACAGCATGTTTCCCATTTTGCTACAACTGTATGATTTGTACCTGTGTAGCCAACTTTTTCATCAGTTCTTTTTAGTAAAAAAAAAAAAAAAAGCTGCCTTTTTATTTTTAAAAATAAGAAAACTTATTTGTTATAAAATATTTTCCATCTGCTTATTCTTAAAATATTATCCTGTTTTAATCATATTTCTTGTCTACTTACCTTCAAAGTGCCTCCAATATGACTAACAAATTAAACGAGTGTTTAAAACCATCTGCTAAAATTTCTTAGGGAAGAGAGTTACATCCTCAATTGTGGACACAACTAACTGTGAGAGCTGGTGGATGTTTGGAACACTTGGCAAGCTGGGGTTAGAGAAGAGGAAAATGGACAGAAGCATCTAGGCTGACTGTCGTGGTGGGTGGTGTGGAATAAGGGGGAGAGATAACTGAATTTGTAAGAAAACCTTGGCTCTGTTCCATTCATACTTCCAATCAACAGTCGGCCCTAGGATGAGTCACCACGCTTTTTTCTTAGTTTTTTTATCTTGTTAGTGAAGAGGTCCACTCAAGGTCCCTTCCAGCTCTAGAATTTCGCAATCTGTTGCAAAGATGTAGCTCTACAGATATGACTTAGTTTTATTAGGTGCACATGGTTTAACTGGTTTTCTGTAATTGCTGACACAACAGGGAAATTTAGAGACAATTTAGTAACAGTGATTGGTCATGGCACTGTAGACCACCTATTGAGTTGTTGTTGTTCAGCCATTCAGTCCAGGCCAACTCTTTGTGACCCTATGGACTGCGGCACGCCAGGCTTCCCTGTCCTTCCCCATCTTCCGGAGTTTGCTAAGATTCATGTCCATAGAGTCGATGATGCCATCCAACCATCTCATTCTCTGTCACCCTCTTCTCCTCCTGCTTTTTACAATCTTTCCCAGCATCAGGGCCTTTTCCAGTGAGTCAGCTCTTCGTATCAGGTGGCCAGAGTATTGGAGGTTCAGCTTCAGCATCAGCCATTCCAATGAATAGTCAGGGTTGATATACATTAGGATTGATTTAGAGAGCACCAATAAATGATTACCTTGAGTTATAGCATTGGTGAAGACAACATTTTAGCCAAGATCATCTCAGTAAATGATGTGTTCTTCAGCATAATGCTGTGGGTTAAGGGGCCCCTTCCCGACAGGTTACAAAATATAAATATGTTAACAGTGTGAGTCAATGCTTGTGTTATTTCTCTACTCTGAACAGATTGTTAGGCCACTTGCATGTTCAGTGTACTATAATACAGAAAATCAATGACTGCACCCTCCAGTATATAACAGGGTGAAGCCATTAAACATTTCATCAGGAAAATGCAAAGTACAGCTCTAAAGTTCTTTATTGTTGGAAAGGCATCATTACAGTAGTACTTACTTGGTATTTACCACCAGCTTGTAAAAATCTACCATGGCAAATTTCACGGTAACCTCGTTAACATTGAACATTACTGAAACCATTTGGTGGAGGAGACAGTTTAGAGGGTAATAATAGGGAATAAAAGCCAAATGTTTTCCTGAGGAAGACTGCCTGTGTCATCTCTACTTGTGAAATCTGTCCATGATGCTAAAAAGAATCAAGTTCTCCTGCCTCTATTTTTTCTTCTTTTTTTTTTTTTTTTGGCAAAGATATGTCATTCTACAACTTGTAACTCTGTTTAAAACACAAAATAAACATAGTCTGATAACATTGTCTTTAAAGGCATATTTGGAAATTATCTGAAAGACACAGCAGGTAGATGGTGTTCAAATGATAATCCCCAGTGAAATCCATCTCTAACGACAGGATTTAGAAAAAAAGAGAAGGGGGGTCGAGGAGACAGATGGTGTTCGTAGTGCATATAGAACCTCAGCATTAGCTTTAGAACTCAAGGCCTTGGCAACAGCCTGAAAGCAAGCTATTTTCCATTGATTGGTATGAATCATTTTCTCTCTCTGTTGCATGTATTTTTTCCACCATCCACACTGCTTAAGTGTCAGCAGACCTGCCACTGACCTTTCCATAGCTCTCTGCTGAGGTGCCTACCATGGCGTTTCTAATCCTTGTCCATTTCTTTCCAGACAGAGCTTTTTGTACATGCCTTCAAGGATCAGCTGGTCAGAAGTGCCCTTTTAGCACTTTACACCGCCAGGCCAGGAGGTGTCCTGACGAAACCACCCTCTCCTAAGAGTGGCGCAGAGGAGAGCAGTTCCCAGGACCCACCCCTGCCGATGAGACGGCAGGACTCCATTCCACACCATTCAGACTATGATGAGGAGGAGTGGGTAAGTCTTTTTTTTTTTTTTAAACTTAGCTTGCCTCCCCATGTTTAGTACTGTAAAACAGAGCATAAGTGTCAAGGAATCTCTCCTTTTCATCAAAACATGTTGGAAAGCAGTCATGATACAGATTGTGGGTAAATAGGTCATGATTTTTTCCTTGGGGGCAAATTATAAATGAAAGTTTTAACCCAACCACATTTATTTGATGTGAAAATTTATTTGATATCAAATAGGTTTTATATATATATAAATATATAAAAATCTAATATAAATATATATAATATATAATAAAAATATATAAATATAAATATATATATAACCTATTTGATAGCAAATAAATATATATATACATATATATATGTATATATATAAAACAAATGTTGTTGTGATTGTTGCTGTTTAGTCGCTAAGTTGTGTCCAACTCTTTGTGACCCCATGGACTGTAGCCCACCAGGCTCGGGATTTCCCAGGCAAGAACACTGGAATGGGTTGTCATTTCCTTCTCCAGGGGATCTTCCCCACCCAGGAACTGAACCTGCATCTTCTGCATTGGCAAGCAGACCCTGTACTACTGAACTGCTACATTATATATGTTAATGTACATATAATGTAGTCAAATAATAATTATCTCCAATAAATATCATCAACGTGATAGCTTACAGAGAACCATGTCAGATTCCTGATCTCCAAAGAAGAAGATTTAGCTTTAGGAACAGGGACCAGGCTTGATCACTCAAGAACTTTTGTGTAGCAGAGTTTTATTAAAGTATAAAAAGTGACAGAGAAAGCTTCTGACATAGACATCAGACATCAGAAGGGGGACAGAGAATGGCCCCCTAGCTAGTCTTATCAAGGCCTTATATACTTTTTTCAGACCCACTCCCACAATATATACATCTTAAATTAACAAGATTAGAACCAACAATAGAAAGTTATTACCAGACCCACTCCCATATTATATATTTTAAGATGACAGAATTAGTCAGAAGGTTCTTGTTAAGGAGAAACATGTCCTCGAGCAGGATACATTGTTATATTGACTAAGACAAAGCAACATAGAAAAGAAAGTTTGTCCTTTTCTCCTTGAGAGTCCCAGACTCCTTTCTCCTTCTTAAGGGCTCAGGAACTCTTTCTCCTCCTTGGGAACCCTTGACTTCTTATGAACCTGTGTAGGAATTGAGTCTCTCAAAAGCAAGGATGCCACAATTGCAAGACTGTAATATTTTCCTTACTTATTAAGGAGATACAAACCATTAAAATTGTTTTTAGAAAAAGAGTCAGTAATCATCCATAAACCATGACTTGGATACAACAAGTATTTTCATTGGTGCAGTCCAGTGTGTTAGTTTGGGGCATACTTAAAAAGCATTAACATTTAAATAGCAGTGGACATAGAGATCTGTTAAGTTCTTTTGTTTATTGGGTTTGTTATTTTAAAAATGTTGCTCCAGGTGGCTCTAAAATTGGCAAAAGAAGGGCCACATGAAAGCATCTGAAAAAATAACTAATAAAGGCAAATAAAGGTTTCCCAAGTGGCGCTAGTGGTAAAGAAACTGCCAGCCAATGCAGGAGTCATAAAAGATGCAGGTTTGGTCCCTGAGTTGTGAAGATCCTCTAGAGGAGGGCGTGGCAACCCACTTCAGTATTCTTGCCTGGAGAATCCCATGGACAGTGGAGCCTGGTGGGCTATGGTTCATAGGGTCACAAAGAGTCAGACACAACTGAAGCAGCTTAGCATGCAAGCACACACAAAGGCAAATAAAGCAAATAAGTCATTATGGTGATAGGAACCCTAGGTGGGCAGAATAAAACAGAAGAAAACCAAGGTTTCTCTCTCTGAGTGAGAGGGAACAGTGTGTTTCTCCTGAATCAATATATATTCCATTATCTAAGAACTTTCTGAAGTATATGCACACCACACACACACACACACAGAAAGAAACTCCTTACTATATCACATGCTTAACCAAGAAAATGCTGTTGTATGCTAACTGTATTAGATGTTAAAGAGTTAATGATTATTTTCCCTGCCACTCTGAATTTAGAAGTGTTCAGGGAGTAAATTATTTGAAAGGCTCAGGTCGCTCAAAAAAATTGCTGTCTGCAGGGCTATGAAGTGATACCTGCTCTTTCTTTTGATGAAATTACTATCGCAGGAAAGACAGCACTGGGCTCCAAGAGGTAAATGCTGAATAAGTATTTGATGTTACTGATTAAGATTACATTTCTCCCACTGAATCATTTTTAAAAGAGAAAATCTAGTATTTCTTCTTTTTACCTTCACCTTCTACTTCAATTTACTTACTGCTCTGAGACGTGCATTCCTTTTAACCTCTCTGAAGTTCAGTTTTCTCCACTGTAAAGTGAAAATAACAGCACCTGTTCTGTATAGCTCTTCGTGTGGTCCAGAGATAGATGATTTGCCTGTGTGATAATGCCCCATGTCCTGCAAAGGCCCAGGCACATGAACTGTATTACTTTACTATTATTGCTGTATGCTATCTTTTTTAGATGTGTAAGTTATATATGATCCTCAGTATGAGGATCAATATAGTCCTTGAGATAAGTGAGGAAATGGGATAGATCATAAATTTGGTTTATCGGACTTCCCTGGTGGTCCAGTGGTTAAGACTCTTTTCTTCCAATGCAGGGGACATGCATTCAGTCCCTGGTCAGGGAACTGAGATCCCACATGCTACCCAGCATAGCCAATAAATAAATTTTGATTGTGACTTCGAAAGAGTTTGAGTAGATATAGAATAGAACTTGTATTTCATGAAGTAAACTTACTGTTAACTCCAGACATTCTGGAGTATGAAATCAAGCAGGCCTTAGAAAGCATCACTACAAACAAAGCTAGTGGAAGTGGTGGAATTCCAGTTGAGCTATTTCAAATCCTAAAAAATGATGCTGTGAAAGTGCTGCACTCAATATGCCAGCAAATTTGGAAAACTCAGCAGTGGCCACAGGACTAGAAAAGGACAGTCTTCATTCCAATCCCAAAGAAAGGCAATACCAAAGAATGTTTAAACTAACACACAATTGCACTCATCTCACACACTAGCAAAGTAATGTTCAAAATTCTCCAAGATAGACTTCAACAATCTGTGAACCGAGAACTTCCCAATGTTCAAGCTGGATTTAGAATGGGCAAAGGAACCAGAGATCAAGTTGCCAACACCCGTTGGATCATAGAAAAAGTAAGAGAATTCCAGAAAAACACCTACTTCTGCTTTATTGATTATGCCAAGGCCTTTGACTGTGTGGGTCACAACAAACTGTGGAAAATTCTTCAAGAAATGGGAATACCAGACCACTTGACCTGTTTCCTGAGAAATCTGTATGCAGGCCAAGAAGCAACAGGTAGAACTGGACATGGAACAATGGACTGGTTCCAAATTGGGAAAGGAGTCCATCAAGGCTGATACTGTTACCCTGCTTATTTAACTTCTATGCAGAGTGTATCATACAAAACACCAGATTGGATGAAGCACAAGCTGGAATCAAGATTGCCGGGAGAAATATCAATAACCTCAGATATGCAGATGATGCCACCCTAAAGGCAGAGAGTGAAAAGGAACTAAAGAGCCTCTTGATGAAAGTAAAAGAAGAGAGTGAAAAAGCTGGCTTAAAACTCAACATTCAAAAAACTAAGATCATGGCATTTGGTCCCATCACTTAATGTCGAATAGTTGGAGAAACAATGGAAACAGTGACAGACTTTATCACTTTAGATAGTGACTACAGCCATGAAATTAAAAGACACTTTCTCTTTGGAAGAAAAGCTATGACCAACATAGACAGCATATTAAAAAGCAGAAACATTACCTAGTTGACAAAGGTCCCTATAGTCAAAGCTATAGTTTTTCCAGTAGTCATGTATGGATATGAGAGTTGGACCATAAAGAAAGCTGAGTGCCAAAGAATTGATGCTTTTAAACTGTGGTGTTGGAGAAGACTCGAGAGTCCCTTGGACTGCAAGGAGATCCAACCAGTCAATCCTAAAGGAAATCAGTCCTGAATATTCATTGGAAAGACCAATGCTGAAGCTGAAGCACCAATGCTTTGGGGACCTGATGTGAAGAACTGACTCATTTGAAAATACTCTGATGCTGGGAAAGATTGAAGGCAGGAGGAGAAGGGGAAGACTGGATGAGATGGTTGAATGGCATCACCAACTCGATAGACATGAATTCGAGCAAGCTCCAGGAGTTGGTGATGGACATGAATATGAGCAAGCTCCAGGAGTTGGTGATGGACAGGGAAGCCCAGCGTGCTGCAGTCCATGGGGTCTCAAAACATTGGACACAACTGAGTGACTTAACTAATTGTTAACTTTTTAACAAATAATTACCACTTTTATATTAAATCAAGGGAGATTGTTGGAACTGTTGGAACTGTGTATCTTTTGTTGTCGTAAGTTTCACCTTATGGTGTTATGCAAACTCCCTCCCACTCCTCTTCCTCCTTCTTCTGCTCAAGTCATCCCTCACATTCCTTCCTTCCTTCCTCCCTTTTCTTTAGATACATTTTGAGACCTTCTATATCACAGGTATTCAATGGCAAGATAAATCATGCTAGGTTGTTAGATCCTAGAGCTCAGATTCTAGTGGTAGATAAAAATATGTTAATAAATAGTCACAAAATGTTGCGACAAGGATGTAGAAAGACAGGTGGAAGAAGTTAGGCTTTGATAAAGAGACTTCAGCTCAATATTTTAAATAAACTTATGATGGGAAAAAAATACAGCGAGAGAAAATGGTGAGTTGAGGTCAATGGTGACGCGTGCAGCACCGTGGGTGTTACAAAGTGCTTGTTCTGCCTGGGTTACTGTGCCAGGTGCTGGGGACCCAGAGGTGACCTGCCTACAGATGCAAGGGTTCCACAGCCTATTCTGGGCTCTTGAGATACCAATGACAGTGATTGTGCAACTTGGGATTGTACATAGGATGAAGTGGGAATCTGGGGGTCACAGTGGGATTTCCAGAAGTATTTCCTGAGAA